ATTTCCCAGAGAGACACACAAGAAACTCTGTTAAGTCTCTGTATTAGAGTTCTCCAGAGAAACAGAACCAATAGGAAATAATTGTGTTTTTTTAAGGGGGTTTATTATGAAGGAGTGGTTCATATGATCATGGGGGCTGAGAAGTCCCACAGTCTGCCATCTGAAAGCTGGAGACCCAGGAAAACTAGTGGTAATTCAGTCCAAAGGCCTGAGAACCAGGGGACCAATGATTTAAATCCCAGTCCAAGGGAAGAAGATAAAATGAGATGTGATGTCCCAGCTCTAATAGTAAGGCAGAGGGGAAAAAAGGGCAAATTCCTCCTTCCTCTACCTGTAGTTCTATTCAGGCCCTCAAGGGATTAGAGAGTGCCCACCCATAATAGGAAGAGCAATCTACTTTAAAGAGTCCACTGATTGAAATGTCAATCTCATCCTCATCCAGATACACCCTAAAAGACACACCCAGAAATACTGTTAAATCTGGGCACCCTATGGCCAGTTAAGCTGACAAATAAAATTACCCATCACATGGTTAAACAATTTTGCAATAGAATGCAAACTCTATCACCTTTGAGAACAAATCACCTATCAAAAGCTATGAAAATCCCGAAAGAACTTCCTTTGTGCAAATATCTGTAAAATGTATTTGAAACACAAAATTTTATTCCCTTAACAACTATTAATCTGGGACTTCTAAAAGTGCTAGAGTCCGCCTTTTCCCATCTGTATCTTGTTAACCACAAAAGCTACAATTAGTGTCAATATATAAAAACCAATAAATCTGGGGGCGCCTGGGTGGCTCAGTCGTTAAGCGTCTGCCTTCGGCTCAGGTCATGATCCCAGGGTCCTGGGATCTAGCCCCACATCGGGCTCCCTGCTCCACAGAGAGCCTGCTTCTCCCTCTCCCACTCCCCCTGCTTGTGTTCCCTCTCTCGCTGTGTCTCTGTCAAATAAATATTAAAAAAAAAAAAACAATAAATCTAGGTGGCAGTGACTTAACACAAATATAAACCATTTTTATTTAACATTTACTAATGCCTCACATTTGCACACAACCCGAATTATTAAGCTTAAACAGCTACAATGTTTTACTACATATTTCTGAAAGCACAAGACAAATGTCAACAGGCTGGTAACTGCTCGTTATGCAAAAAACAACCTCCAGAGTATACCACAGCCCTGGTTTAAATTCAACATATTTTCCTACAACTTCTATACCTTTAGTTCTCTGTAATAATAAATGCTCAGAATCATAACCCTAATAGCTTTTGAAAAAAAGTTTAAAAATGTGTTTAAAGAAAATCCATTGATAAATACTTCTTTATATCCTAATGTATTTCATTATATTCTAATGCTGTGAAAATTCAGATTAACTGAAACAAATCCTCAAGTAAACATCCCATACCCTAATTCTGATATATGTATACTTTTTTTAAAAAAGAGAGCAGTGGAGGGTGAATAGGTATTAAACAAATAATTTTCAAGTATACTTTTAACAAATAGGAGTAACATTAAGAAGAAGTCCTAACAGGGGCAAAGACAGTAGAAGGGGAAAAAGATTAACTAGACATTTAAAACAAACAAATCTGTCATCCCTATGTGGAAAATGCAAAAGACACATGGATATGGCTAGCAAGTCTTCTAAGTATTTCATTTGTATTGAGAATGAAAATAATACAAATTAAAGCCAAAAAGTTTAAATCGGAAACTGTTAACTGCCCTTTAGAGAGAGAAAAAAAAGGGGGGGGGGGCAAGAGGACCTACTGGGCTGTACTTTCAATTCACACTAATCTATCATATCACAGGTTTCAAAGTTCAATATACATATTAATTTGCTCAACTAGGTAATTTTTCCATTAACTTAAAATGGCTCTTAATTGATCACTTGCACAGTTTCTCATTTCTGTAAAGGTTTCAAAGACCTATTTTGACAAAATGCAAAACTTTTTCATATGCATGTTTATCATTACTGCTATTATTATGTATCTATATACTTGGCATCCCCATCCTGGTTCAAAAAAAAAACTTAAACCTAAAAATAGTCTCTACTGATGATTATCAGCTACAAAAGAAAATTAATGATGCATTCCACACTGAGCCACAAAAACAGCACACAATGTGGAATAAAAGGACCTAGGTGTGACTCTTGGTTCCACCACCTGTTACATAATTTTAAGCAAACTATTTTAACTCTGTCTTCTCATCTGGCTATCGAGGACAGTATCTCCTACCTCAATGCTGAGATGTCAAAGAACCAAGCAGATAGTACCACTCACCACTTTCTGAGCACAGGGTCTGCTTGTTGAACAAGAGATTCTTTTTTAACATAGCTCATCATTATATATTTTAAGATCTAACATGAATTAAATCACTTCCCCTAATATCTCCTGATCTATGTTAGAACGAGGAGAAGCAATAAAACGGAGTCCCACACTATTAATTTTTTAGTAACCAATACTGAGTAAAATTTTCTAATATATTTCAAAATAGGACTATTTCTGAGCATTAGAAACAAAAGGCTAAGGTAAAGTAAAAAGTCTTTCTCAAGTAATAATTCTCAGTTTCCCTACTGACAATATTCGGACAAGACAGTAGTGTATTAGGGGCGCCTGGGTGGCTCCGTTGGTTAAGCAACTGCCTTCAGCTCGGGTCATGATCCCGGAGTCCTGGGATCGAGTCCTGGATCGGGCTCTCGGCTCCAGTGGGAGCCTGCTTCTCCCTCCAACCCCCTACCCTCTCTCCTCTCATGCTGTTTCTCTCTCTCTCTCTCAAATAAATAAAATAAAATCTTTAAAAAAAAGATAGTAGTGTATTATAAAATCGATCAAGAGAGCTGAAAATTACTCACTGAAAGCTATACAGTCAGAATTCTGTACTAGGTCAGGAGATGGGATTCAAGTTTCACATTTGCCACTAATAAATGTTGACCTTGGACCAGTCTCTGGGCTTCAGTTTTCTAATCTATAAAATGACTACTACAAACCAAAGATAAAATCCAAGTACCATTTAATCTGGGCCTTCGTAGTAGTTAACAGAATGGACTCGGAAGGGACTGCCAAGGTGGGAAACCTGGATCGGCTACTTACAAGCTTTGCACCAGTAACACACAAAGCACTACAGTACATCTTACTGGCATCAATGACTTACTATTTAAAATATTTCACTGAAACACGAAATCATTTTACAATACAGAAGCTTAGAAGGTACAGTCCTTCCAAATCAAGGCACTAGCATTTTACTAGAAGACAATGAGCTCATGTGATAGCATTACAACTCTTTAAAACATGCTAGCCTAAGCCAAGTTTCATCATAAGATCATGTCATAAAATATCACACGTTAAAGACTCCACTGAAACTTATTATAAGGCTAATTATTCTCACCAAAATATCACACTGAAGGTAAAAATACAACTTCTGCTACTCAGATCTTTTTTTTAACCTAATACTGCTAATGACAACAGAAAGTTATATCATAATCTCTGAGAATTTAATAAACTCCAGGAATGAAAAATATGTGAAATTTAGAAATATTAAGTGAGGAGCGCCTGGGTGGCTCAGGCCATGATCCCAGGGTCCAGGGATCAAGCCCCAAATCAGGCTCCCTGCTCAGCAGGAAGCCTGCTTCTCCCTCTCCCGCTCCCCCTGCTTGTGTTCCCTCTCTGTCAAATAAATAAAATCTTAAAAAAAAAAAAAAAAAGAAATATTAAGTGAGCTACAAACTACTAGAAATAAGGAGTTCATGAATTACAATCAACCAGTAAGTATTTACCAGAGACATCATAGCCGAGGCTCTGTGCGCAAATCAAGTGCAAATAGCAAAGTGTGAATTTCCTCAGAGGTTTATCAAATTGGAAAGGCAAGTAAATCCTTTTTCATCACATTTTAACACAATAAAAGCCACTCATCTACAAACGATTTTATTTCCTTTTGGCCCAGGTAGGAATACTTCCTGTTGCCCATTAAAATTGTTTCCTATCTTTAACTCAGCCCACAAAGATGCCCAAACTAGTCCCTGACAGCTGACATCGGAACCTTCAAAGGACTTCAAGCAAGTAGCTTCTAAGACATTTCCTCAAATCCACAAGCTGCAGAATTTATCTTCAATGACGCCTACACCAGCATATACCACTACACATAACTGTGTTAACTTGGGTCAAGTATCTAATTAGACCAATTTAGTTCTTGCCCTTAAAGTATTGCTAGTAAAGGCAAACTCTACAAAGGCAGACTCTTCAAAAAGTCTGCTTTTTGCAATGGACATGAGGCACTAGAAAATGATTGGCTAGTCATAGTTGCCCTACTTCCATTTCAGGTTCAAGTTTAAAAAAAAAAAAAACTGTTCCACAAAGGGTACCAAGGGAGCCTTAAGCAAATCAAGAGTGTAGATGCTAAACTGAACTTTCTGATTCCTACGATTCAAAAAGGTGACAGGGTGTGGGGGTGGGGAGGGGGTACGGTGATATAACTGGGCTATTCAAGTGTCGTTTGAGAAAGAAGGTCCACTTCACGAAGTAGGCAAAGTAGGGGGTGGGTAAAAACTGGTCTGGCCAAGTGACAAACCCAGGATGCTGACTGAGCTTGGAGGTGGAGGGCCCTGGAGGCCGGGACCGGAGAAGGGAGGTCTCGGGCAAACCGTAGGGGAACAGGAACCAGCAGCAATGCAGAGAGACCAACGCTGCCACAGAGCAGCGTGTAAGGGGACACCACGAAGGAAGCGATGAGTTAGGAGGTAGCGACAGCAGGAGGGTGACCAGTGCCACGGGCGACGGTCAAGTGGCAACTGCGAAAGAAGAGGCACAGCAGCCGGAGGTGGCGGGACTCTGTTGAGTCAGCACAGCTCCTATTCAAGGGGGCACTTGTAGGATCCCCGCTGCTCCTCGGGCCCCGGGGCCCGCTACGGAGGGTCAGGCCCGCGGGCGGGAGAAATGATGTTCTCGGAAGAGCTGGCGCCGGCCCCTTCCCCATTTCACAGGTAAACACTGGCCGCCGTCGCCGCTTACCTCTGTTAACATTATTACACCCCGGGGAAGTGAGCTCCTCCCTAGCCTCGCCGCATGGCAACAGCCGTAGCAGCAGCGAAAACTGCCCGAGCCGCCGCCAACGGCCGAAACAGCTCCTTCAGTCCTCTCCCGGGCGGCGGCTTTACTCGGCTTTGCTGGCTTCCCCCCGGCCCGGCTGCTCGCGACGGACGCGCCGCCATCTTGGAAGAGCGACGTCCGCGTCTTTCTGCGACGTGCGCTCCCATTGGTGAGCGCAGGAGCCGCCGGCGACTCGTGACCGTCTCCATGGCGCCGGCGCGTGGAGAAGTGGAGGCGGACGCCTCGCGGCCCACTCGGCCACAGCGGTGAGGCCTCCGAAGCTGCGTTCTCAGGCGGACTTGGGACTGCTGGGAGTGGAGACGGGGCCCAGGGCAGGGCCAGCCCGGGATCCGGCGGGCGCGTCCGCAGAGTTCGCTCGTCCTCCGCCGCACGCCGGGGTGGGCCGACTCTGGGGTGGAGCGAGACCCGCAGAGACCGAGCCTTTGACTGATGGCGCTGCGAACCTCGCGCGTCTCGGGGACAAGGCGGCAGATGTCCTGTAGAAAAACTTTCCTCTCTCATTTCCTTTGCCCAGCAGCGACCGAGGAGCATGCGGAGGGTCGGGTCCCTCCGCGAATGGGGTTAAATATGATCTGAAACTGCTCCCCGCGCAGTTCCTCTCTTCCTGAACTTTGACAGAAACTTTCCTTTGTCCTTACCAGTCGTCAGCGAACCCCTTTCTGGTGTGTGCGACAGGTTGTAGAACTGATACAGGCATATCAGCTTTACCCACTATCCTAGCGGTTCGGACTGTCGCAGATTAGGTGATTGGCCAGCACCTGCATAACAATGAGGGCCGAGTTTCGCTTCTTCTAAGAGACCTAAAAACAAAACAAAAAAGTAAAGCCACTTTTGCTTTTTAACTGCCATTTCAACAGTTCTACTGGCTTCTTGATAGAATATGTATCAGTGCAAATTTCAGCAGGTGTCATTGTAAATAGTGCCAGCTTAAAATGGGACTGAACTCGGGCACTCTGTGCATAGAAGTCCCTGAGACTGACACCATTCTGAATCTACTACTAGATGGGTTACATTGTGTGGAATTGGAGGCAGTCACTTCTACCTGAATTTGAATGAAAGTAGTTTACCTGAACCTGCTGTCAAAGCGTGTTAACTCTGGTGTGTGTTAGAAACTAGTTTACAAGGAAATTTGAAGATTTTCAGATTTTTACAGGGGGTACAAAGGCATTTGGGAAAACTAATGCCAATAGTTCATTCCCCTTTCCGGAATCTCCTTACCCACACCTCGACTCCTTTCCTTAACAATGGTACTATTTTATAAAATGAAATTTAACACATTACTCTCATATTCTCAAAGTACTAAGTGAAGGCATTACAGACTTGTGTTACCACTATTCTGTTGTATCCTCACCAAGGAAACAAAATTGTTCATTTAGGTAGTCTGGTAGAAATTCAAGAAAAACCTTCATTTTAGTGAATTCAACTAATTGAGGCAAAGTAGTTTTTGTTGTTGTTTTGATTTACATCTGATACATAATTTCCATATTACTGGCCCAGTAGAATTCTGATTTCTGCAACACAATAAAGTGTTACTGGTATTGACAGATTAAGCCATGAATAGGAAATACGATTGGAATATACTATCTGGACTAAGATATTAAGGGAAACTAAGAGATACTAGAGACAACAAGGAAGCTGGAAAAAGATATTGTTCCAACCTGTAAGTAAGAAGAGAAGGATACTTATTAATATTTAAGATACCAGCTGGTGAATTAAAACTGTAATTTAAGCGACTAGCCTTGAGTATTTAACTTTTTGTACATTATTTTCCCATTCCAGGAGCAATACATTTTCACCTATTCTAAAGGTGGTGAAGTAAGTGTAAACATAATGTGAGGTTTGTACCAACCTATAATGTGACATGAACATGCTTTTAACATTTAAGAGTTTATCTACAGACCTAGGAGCAAGCCAAAATCATTAGCTCCCTGTTTTCTCAGCCAGAGTCCTTTCTGTGACCTAAAAAACCTTATGCTAGCTAGCCTCCCAAGTCCCTCCTCACATCCACCTTTCTGACCTCATTTCTACCAAGCACTTTGTTCCAGCTTTCCTGCTCCTGTAACAGCAAGGCATCTTTTTGCGTTGGGGCCTTTGCACTGACTACTCCATCTAGAAGGATCTTTCCACCAAATACTTGCATGGCTAGAGCCCTCACAATTGTCCCATCTTTGCTCAAATGTCACCTTTTTCAAAGAAGCCTACTCTGATCAACCCATTTAAAACGTTGCCTGTCCCCACCCCCCCTCCCTTGCTTCAGTTTTCTTCATAACTCTTATACCTTCTAATGTAATTACTGTTTTTCTTTCTTATTGTCGGTCTTCCCTCCATTGGAATATAAGCTCCACGAGGTCAGGGATATTTTTGTTGTTCTGTTCAGTGATGTTTCCTCAGCACCTAGAATACTAAGAATATTGCATGGAATATAGTAGACAATATTTCTTAAGTGAGTGGGTAAATCATTTTCTAAAAGACCTCAAAAGGAAAAAGCCTAATTAAAATTGATTTAAAACAAAATCTTTGGTGTTGAAAGGTTATTTTTTTTTAAATCGGCCAATGTGCATTCTTATCTTGCAATTACGGGGCGAGTTACTTTTACTGTCACTAGAATGCTGGAGAGAAGTTTATGACAGAAATGTGACCTACGCCTTTATTTTTGATTGTGGTAATGGGATGAGGGCTAAAAAAGATAAAATATGTTAAAAACAAACCTTATATTTATCTTGGGCATGAGTTAAAATTAACTTGCTAGCAAGGGGAGCAACAAACTGAATATGGTACGCCATTTTGGTGAGTTATGGAAATTGAGGAATTATATAGTTGGGAAAGAATGTTTACAGAATCAGCTAGCTTAAAATAGCACCTAATTTGGTACCGATTACAGTTGCATTCCATGTGGTCTTGAAAACATATCAGTTGTTACAAAGGAAACCTGGAACCAGCTGATCTGAAATGCTGGCTGCTTTAGCTATCAATCAGAAATTCAAAACAAAACAATCTGTCTTAAGAAACACATGATAAGGATATTTACGTGGCTGTTCTTGCAAAAGGTTTGATTCCCCAACAGCAGTGTCCAATCTGTCCAATTAACACAGGAAGGTATGACAAAAAGGTCAGAGGCAAAAACCAAGTGTGTGACGCTTTTAAACAGGCCACTGCCAGTGATCTCTAAACCACCAAGCAGCAATTTGGAATATCTAGTTTGCCTACTCTTTCGTTTTAAAACAGATAAAAAAGATTCTCCTGCATATTCAGGTTGTTACAAATTGGCTACAATTCCTTTTGAAAAACTGGAAAAATAAAGCATCAACCTTCCAAGCAAATCAAATCTATCACACAGTTGTTATATTTTAATCTTTTGGTTTCTTAAGCCATTTCATTAACTCCAGTTTCTTCGTAATACCATATCATCAGTGTCAATTACCACCGCTGCTGAACATTAAATAGTACTATGCATTCATTAACAAGGCCCAATAACAAAGCCCGTGATTCAGTATTGAAGTAATGCATTGCCAACAGAGGAGACACATTCTAAGAAAGACAACAGCAGGATATCCTGAATCTGTTATAGCTTTAGTAGGGCAACAGGAAGCAGAAATCTTGGGGCATTTAAGAGTGATTTGAAGTCTAGCTTCAAATAGCCCGGCTTGTGCTTTTTTCTTGCATAGTATTTTTTGAGGAAATACTGAGACAACTCAAGCCTAAGAAACTGAAACAGAGATAATATGAAGCTTTGCTAATAATAGATGTAGCCATAGCAAAATAATAATGTTCACATTTCAGAAGTATGAAGAGACACTGGCAACCTCAGTCAATAGTTTTGTTTGTTTGTTTTAAGGTTTTTATTTATTTGACAGAGAGAGAGAGCAAGCGCAAGCAGAGGGAGCAGCAGGCGGAGAAGCAGGCTCCCCGCTGAGCAAGGAGCCAGATGCAGGCCTTGATCCCAAGGTCCTGGGATCATGAACTGAGCAGAAGGCAGACGCTTAACCAACTGAGCCACCCAGGCGTCCCCAATAGTTTTTAAAAGAGATATTTTTACATCACAAAAATTAGACCTGGAGCACTTTTCAAACATTTAATTCTCAATTATGAATACTATTTTTCAGTACTTTTTATGGGTCAGGTGCTGTGGGAGGTATTTTGCACATATTATGCTTAACAATTGAGGAAGGCTGTCACAGTAGATCTTATTACCCTTTGAGACCATGACAAATTTAGTGAGTTGCCCCAAGTCACCTATCAAGGGTATATACTATCAACATCATTTATCACTGTTGATGTTGACTTCAATCAACCTGGCTGAGGTAGTGTTTGTCAGATTTCTCTGCTACAAAGTTACTGTTTTTTCCCCTTTCCATACTGCTATACTCCTTGGAAGGAAGTCACTAGCAGCAGCCCACACACAAGGAGGCCAGGATTATGCTCCTTCTCCTTGAGGGCAGAATATCTACTTAAATTATTTGGAATTATTTTGCATGGGAAATTTGTCTCTTCTTCATTTTTTATCAATTCAATCATTTATATGAGTATGGACTCATACATATTTATTTTATACTTTGGGTTAAATCCAACACTTTTTTATTTTGTTGCTCAAATTGTCCCAGCTTTGGGCATTGGGAATTCTTAGTTGCCCTATGTCCTCTTAATGTATTCATATCAATGTGGGGTAGTTTTTTGTTTGTTTTTTAAGCACTTCCTTACTTTCTACAAGATACTCTAGATACTACAAAATGCTCCAGGGTCATTATACCCCAGTCCTAGAATCAGCCATTTCTCTAAGGAATTTCCATTCCTTTATTGGAATTGGTATTAGAAAACAAGATCTAGGCACTAAGTGTGTTCTTTGCTACTCAGGGTGTCCTTTCTTTTCATCCCTTGCAACTGACAAAGCAAGGAAATATGTGTGTGTACACTAATCCATATATATACCTATCTATACGTATTTCTGTATGTAACCATCTGTATTTATATTAAGGTAACATGAGTTCATACTGATGTCTCCCAACTCTAACCCATTAACAGTGAATCGTTCCAGCCTTCTCCCTTTGCTTATCTGTAAATTCCCACTGCCAACAGTGGGAAACCTGGTTCCTACCATTTGCCATCCATTTCT